ACAGGGTCATGCTGCTTTCACTGTTACTTCCATTTTATAACGGATTTTAATTTAATTTTTAATTAGTATTTATGTAATTGAGGGTTTTTCCTTTTAACTGTCTGCATGAGTGTTTGTTTTTCCTAGATGGCGACCGCTTTCCCTTCCTAGTCTTCTGCTGGCACTTTTGACAGCGAGTCTTCTCTGTGGCTTGGCTCCCTTCCCTGTGTCTGGGCAGAAGGCTCAGGCGCCACGGGCTGTGATTCCTTTACACAGCTAAGGGTCTGTGGACCCCACAGAACCTTTTTGGTTGTGTGGATATTTCTGTTAAATTTTGTATAAAAAGTATGGCTGAGAAGACTTATAAATATTTAGTTCATTTGAAAATAATAAAGTATTACATGTTAATATAATGGATTGCTAGTGAAGATAACCGTTTTACAAAAGAAACCAGTAGCAGACTTTTGACAAGAGTGGCATTGTTTACGTGTCTAGAGCACTCTCTCCTCTCCTGCCTGGTGATGGTGGGGAGAGGGTGAATCTGCTCTTTACTGCGCTGTCTGGCCTGGCCCATGGGCACTGCTGGCCCACACAGAGGAGGCTGAGCCCTCCTTGATCAGGGAAGGGCGCCCATCCAGTCACCTGTGTGCCCTGCCACCTCAGCCTCCATGGTCTCTCACTGCATGTGGATTTTAATACTACATCAGTTACTGTGGTGACATCGGCTCACTGAGTCAGGCAGATGTTTCACTACACATCATTAATTTAGCCTCTTTGGTGCCATTACTCACTGATCACATTAAAAACTGCCCTTAAGTTGTGCAAAACCATCAAGCCTCTGTGGTGTGGGTGCATGTTTTCTAAAGTTTTCTAAAGAGCTTTCATTTTGAAAGCTCAGTCTTTATTGGCAATAAATGCTGTCAATTTTCCTGAAGAGGCAGGCTCACTATTCACTTTGAAAGCTGCAGATTCTGCCAATTGACTGATAAAATATAACAGCTATTCACACAGTATTTAGGTTGCCCTAGGTCCAGCACAGGCAGATGTGTGAACATGCAAACACCATGCCATTTTGTATAAGGAAACAGCCCCGGTGGGCAGAGGAATGGCTGTGACTACCAGGCACCCAGTTCTTAATACTGATCTTAGTACTTCGAGACAGTTTTTCATGAAAACACAGCAAGTTTAAATGGCAACTCACACTCACAGATGCTTTTCTTCACGATTCAGAGTGCACTGTGACTCCCACCAGAAGTACTTCATGCACATTTCCATTTGTCCCAGAATATTGGAAGGCCAAAGATTCGGGTTTGCACTTTTATAAAGTTTACAGTATTTGCTGTTTTCTTAATTAAACATGGCTGTGGGTGATGCAGGTTCTACTGTGGTCACGTGACCGTGAAGACTTTATTCTGTGCCCTGTCACCTGCCCAGGCTTATGCCAGCACTGTGGGAAGGGCCCGTGGTATCTTAGTAGTATCATGAAAATACCTTGACTTCAAAGTCCCCTGAAAAAGTGTCACTGACAGCTGCCAGAACCACCACTCCAGGGCCTGAGAAGACCTAAGAAGTGTCCCAGTGGGCTGGGAGGTGGCTGGGGAAAGGGTATGCCCAGCCTGCATGTGGTCTTGGGTTCCATCCCCAGCACCCCAGCAGCAAGGAACACAGATGGATGGGCTGCATCCCAATTAAGTTTTATTTATGGACATAAGATGCTAATTCCATACAAGTTTCACATGTCACAAAATACTAGCCATATTCTGATGTTTTAAATTCCCTCAAGCATTAAACCTGTCCTTAGCCCTTGGGCCTCACACACAGGAAGCAGGCTGGATCTGTGGCTTCACCTGATTTCCTTAAGGAAAGGCACAGGAAGAGTGGCACTGGTTTCTGCATGCTTAAAGCCGCCTTAGTTTGCTCCTCTGCTGGTTAGTGGTGTGGCCAAATAAAGAATTCCAGTCTGATAATACTGTACTTTGTTGTCACCTAGCATTCCTGGTGATGAGTATCCCTGTGTGATCTGATCTCCTCTCTGAGAAGGACCTGCCTGCTTCCACCCTCCCTAGCATGTAGGCTGAGGGCAGGCAAAGTGTTGACTAACTTGGCCATCTGGCCCCTGGTCAGCTGTTGGAGGAGGGCTGTCTGTGACATTTGCTTCTCTTATTAGTCTTTGCCTCTGTGTGATGGTGCACTTTCTTGGGGTCAGTGCTCCAGTACCCCCACTGCCCCCCCCCCCCCGTTTGCCAGCTTCCAAATCTTCTGTTTTCTCATTGAACTTCTCTAGAGTTTACTAGAACCAGGAGTTGTCTCTGGGTCCTGCTGTTTGGTGGCCCCTTTTCTTGTCTTGTCCATACCTTCCTGAGCTGCTGAGCAGAACGTTGGGAGTTTGAAGTCCTGGTGTCTCTGTGCTCTGTCCTGGCCTTATATGTCGTGTTTGTGTTGGTTTTCCTCCTATTGGGTTCGCTCTACTTCTGCAGCTCACTTGCATGAAGTGCCTGGGTGGCTAGTGGAAACCCTTGGCTGGTGGTATATGTGGATGTCATAGGGCCCCAGCCTGCTGACCATGGCAGCTCTAGCATGCAGTGTCCTCTGGACTGTTTTTCCAGATGCACCAACAGGCTGGTTTGAAAAATTTGTCACAGACCCTAATTGTAGGAGCCCTTTTTTCTCCTTTGTTACTAGAAAGCTGCCCTTTCGCTATGTGTGTATTCTTGTTTTGGGTGGAATCTCTGGCATGTGAGCTCTGGTCTGCAGTGTGGTCAGCAAGCCCTTTGAGGCTAGGAAGCTTCTTCGTCTGCAACGTTGAGTCCTGGGAGCAGCCCCAGTACAAAAGAGAATCCCAGAAGAGGGTTTTGGTGTGCTGCCACCAAAGCACATGGCCCAGGCACTGATCAGCAGTAGAAACAGGGCTGTCACCGGTCTGGGCTAAGTGCCCAAGGGCAGGGTGTGGTGCACTCTTACCTGTGAGGCCTGATTCTTGCTTCTTAGACAGCACCTTCTTGCTCCTTCTCACTTGAGGTCACTAGGCAGAGCTGTGCTGGGTGTACCAGGCAGAACAGTGCCTGGCTGGAGGAGAGTGGTCCAGACACACTCCACTGCTAGCTGCTGGGGTGTGCGGCACAGCGTCTGCAGCCTCTCTGCAGTAGGGTTACCCCATGACAGCTGTGCTCAATGACGCCCTCCTGAGGACAGGCAGGCAGGACCTCTTCAACATCAACTTCTAGGGCCAGGGATGTAGAGCTCAGTGGCGCTTCCGTCTGCCTCACAAGCGCAAGGTCCTGAGTTTGATCCCGGGTCCCCCTTACCTGTCCCATCAACTTGTAGGTGGTCTTTAAAGTTCTCCTTGCATATTGCTGCTGAGTATGCAAATAGCCACAAGTTTCAGTGGCTGTCCCTGTGTCAGGTGCTTAAAATATAGTTTCATCAGGCTGTCCTCCCAGTTTTAGGGAGGAAATTGAAGAGTTTAGAATTCACACTTGTACACACAGAGAGAAATCATCATCTCTGGCCTTGGCCACATAAGCACATAGGTGGAGGCACCGTGCTGTCCTGCTTTGCAGTGGAGGCTGGGTCGCTGGCCTTGCCCCTGCTTAGAATAACTAAATGAGTTCTTAGGCGAGTTAGACACCAAAAGAATAGCTTGTTAGCCCTTATCAGTTATTAGGACCAGGCAGGATCTTGAGATGTTATATAGAAGTGGGACCTCAGAGAAAGCCAGTTGACATTGACGTTAGGAAGAGCCAGGGAGCTGGCCACTCTTTGGCAGAGGCTGTGTAGACTCAGGAGTCAGTCCCAGAGTGCTCCACCCAGCACACCCCATCGTGACACCGGTGTACATTCCACAGGAGAGGATGTCACGGGTGTGATTGGCACAAACTGGTTTCTAACTGGCAGCATTGAGCATATGAGTGGGGAGGCTTCTCCTTGTCCCTCATTTGTTTTTTTGTTTTTGGTAATTTTTGAGACAGGGTCTCACTATGTAGTTAAGGCTGACCTGGGACTCATTATGTACCCCAGGCTGGTCTCAAACTCACAGTGATTCTCCTACCTCAGCCTATGTCCCTCATTTGTGATAAGCATGGGCACAGGTGATGCATGGTCCAGCCCTGAGAGACCAGAGGGGCGTGTCCACAGGGGAGACAGGAGCAAGGGGAGCCTCTGCAGAGCAGGGAGTTTAGGATCTGCTACTCTGAATACTCCTTGCAGGCGATGTACTATATTGGGATTTCTAGTGGCCTGCAGCCCTTGGCTATCTCTAAGAATTGGTCCCTGGCCATCAAGCCTTGTTTAGATGCTAAAATATCATAAAATACAGAATATAAAGTCATACTCAATGCAATACATGCCCTAAGTTTCTTGGGAAACAAGAGACTGGAGCCTTAGGCCCAGGTGAAGGGGCCGGCTCTGTGACCCCCTCAGAGCTATCATACGCCTGTGCCTACATCCAGATGTTTTGTCTCGAAGACATGTAGAATTAGCCCTGTGTGCTCAGTGCTTTATGAAAAGCAGGGGTTCCCCTCCAGCTTTCTGCTTGAGGCTGGGTCCAGCTGGTGAGTGAATGTTGGGGGCTGAGCCTGCGGAGATCTGCCAGGCCCGAGGTTGAGGCCTGGCTTCCAGTGTTGTGACCTTGGCTGTGGGAAAGAAGGGGGGGTTGGGGCTGGCTCCTGACAGCACCCGGCAGGGGCAGAATCCCTGGACCCACTCAGCCCCCGTCTGGAGTATAACTTGTGCCAAAGGGGCCCAAGCTCTGACGTACTGGTACCTGCCACCCAGAGCAGGCCGTTACCCTGCTGGCTATTCCTTTCTGCCTGTCTTGCCTCCACCATTGCTCCTGCTGCTTGCAGCTCCTGGGGTGTCTCCTGGGGCCTGGGTTTCCCTGTGTGGAGGGCCCTGCTGCTGGCCCTGGGCTGAGCTACTGCTCCCTCTGTGGTCAGTCCATTGGGGTCCATGGGAGGCTGGCCAAGTGTTGAGTCGCCGCTGAGTTCCACAGTGTCTAATCCTGTGTCTTCTCTCTTGAACAGTCGGTTGACGATGAGGCGATGGTGGTATAAATGACGATCGGGTGAGGGAACAGAACGATGCCCAAGAGTGGGTGTTCTAAAACACCACAGCAAGAAGACTTTCCTCTCAGCAACGACATGGTGGAGAAACAAACCGGGAAAAAGGTAACTATTGCTTCCTCTCCCCCACCCTGCCTGACTAGACCAGAGACTCCACCAGACCGGTCTGGAGGTGCTGCGCACTGACTCTCGGTACCTGGGGAAGCCCGGTCTACAGGAGTGGTGTGGGTGTGTGACGTGTGGGTACAGAAGTCACTCCCTGAGTTGATCTTGACTTGGCAGCCGTTCCTGGCCATGGCCCCCAGGATTTCTGTCACGGTGTTTCAGTTATCCTGACTATAAATAGTTGTGAGAATTTTACTTCCATTTTTGTTTATTCTGAATGTGAATAGGAAAACAGAATGTAAACCTAAACTGTAAATCTTTTTCTGTGTGCTTATTATTTGTTTGTTTTATTTTTTTAAGTACTAGGAATGAGCTCAGAACCTTTACATTGAGCTACATACCCAGCCTGATTGATAATTTGATTTTGAAAACGGTATAAGTTGTTCTAGGTTGAGACTCACTTACAATCTGCTGCCTCAGCCTAGCCTCTCAGAATACTGGAATCACAGACACACACTACTAATGCCAGCTTTTATCGTGTGGTTTTAACACCAGTCCTGCAGTGCCAGGGAATATGAAGGGAGGGGCATGCTATATGACATGGTTATGGGATGCACACTTCTGTCAGGAGTGGGGGGGTGACGGTTCTGGGGTGCATATTTCCTTTGTTGCCAGTGCTGGTGTACTCTGAGGATGAACTTAGAATCGGATCTAATGAGCTCAGTTTCAGGCTTTGCCATGTATTGTTTTGTAGCTATCATCGCTGCACTGAGTCTCAGGCTCTGCGCTCTGCAGTAGAGCAAGAGGCTCCCCAGTCCCACAGAAGGCAGGTCACCGTCACTCATCCTGACTTGTCTTTGCTGCTCCTCCCTGGTGGCCTGTGTGCCAGGCTGTCTGCATGCACCCTTGGTGGGCTGTGTCACCCACCTCAGTGCAATTCGCTGTTGCCAAGGTTTTGATCTGCTTCTTCGTCTCCCTCATGGTACTTGGGGTGTAAAAGAGGGTCCCACTGCTGCTGCCCCTTCACTCTGCCCATCCTCCTGCTCTGCTCTGCTGTAGCTCATTCTCTCTCTCGTCTCCTGTGTGTGATGAGGTCAGCGGGAATCGCACGCCTAAAACTGAATGAACCAAGTCCTGTATTCATTTAGTTTTGGTAAATAGGGAGCAGTGTGTTAACACGGGCATGCTTAGTGCTCTATGGACAGAAAAGCTAGAGGGGCCCTGAGACCCTTGGGTGCCGGGCAGCACGCCCACTGCCTTCTCCTCTTGTCTGGACAGCCTCACGCCTCACAGCAATGGTGAGCACTGGAGTGTGGAGCCAGCAGGTGAGTGAGGACAGTACCACGTGCTGCTGGTCTGGTGGTGATAGGTGCTGCAAAGGCCTGTGGATCGCACAGAGACTCCTGAGTGGCTTTGGGGTGTGTCAAGATCACTAGGAGACAGAGCCGTTGGGGAGTGTGTGGCCTGCGCTGGGGCAGGGGGCACTTGTGCAATGGCCCGGGAGATAGAACTGCTCTTGCTGGCGGTCCTGATAGCCAAGAGCCCAGTGTTTGGGAGTTTCCTACCAAGTACATCATACCACCCTTGGTAAGAGTTTCAGGTCTGCCTGTGGAGTTAAAGGCCAGGAGAAGGCTCCCTGTCTGCTCTGTACTTCCACATCAGAGGACTTCGTGAGCCCGGCCCCAAAGTGCACACAGTTCAGGGCTCGCGCGAGTGAGCTGCCCTGTGCCCATGAGCTGGCTTGGAACACTGCCATCTCCTGCTGGGACCAACTTCTCCTTACTTCCCTGGGCTGCGTGCTGGATTTCAGATGGGGTTTTCATCCCCCCAGCATAGCCCAGCACTGAAAGGTGGGACACCATGCGTGGGAGCCACTCAACCCTTCTCTTGCCCTGTTTCTTGGGGTTTTCATGCTCTCCATCTTGGGTAACTGATGCTTCTCTGGTGAAAATTTCCCAGAGAGTGCTGGGTCTGTCCCTCAAATAAAAGGTGTGGTGTTGGTTTATCTCCAGTCAACTCTCTGAGATGAGAGCTGTGCCTCCTAGTTTGGGCCCAGAGTGTCTTGTGTCCCCATGGTTAATACTGTTAGGGGCCCCACAGCCCCTTCTGTGACATACTTCTTTCTGTAAGACATCAGAGAGCAGGGGCTGTGCTAGTCTGGGTTGGGTGATATAGCAGCCCTCAGCAAGGAGGCATCTGTCACACTTGGTTTTGTTTTGTTTGTTTTTGGTTTTTGTCTTTTGTGAAATTGGTGGCCAAATTCAGGAGTGTGCTACCACTGAGCTACTCCCCCCACTTTTAATTTTGAGACAGAGTCTAAGTTGCCCAGTCTGGCTTTGAACTTGTGATCTTCCTGCCTTGGCCTCCTGAGTTGCCAAGCTGACAGGTGTGCACCACCGTTGGTGCCACGCTTTGTTTGATTGCCGTCCAACGGAGGTGACTGGGTGGTGGAGAGAATAATGGGTCTTGGGAGCATGGAGGAGCCAACCTTCGTGTCTGACATGCAGAGAGGTGGGCATGTGAGGGTTGGAAATGCTTCAGGCGGAGACTATGCAGGTAAAGGCCGAGCTGCAGAGAGCCACAGAGCTGCAGGCCACACCTGCCTTGTGGGGCTCCTCTGGAGTAGCCACTGCAGGCCGAGGCTGGCTTAGGTTGTTGCCTTTTACCGAGGAGAGCACTGGGGCTGGGCTAGTCCTGTGCCCACAGTGCCTGTTGTGTCTGCACAGGGGCCTTGGACGACGTGTGGAGCAGATTTGGGAGCTTTTCCCCATAAAGAGGCTACTTTGTTGTTGGCTTTTGACGTTCCCGATAGAGCTAGGCCTCCTCCCCTGGAGACAGTTTTAACCTGAAGATATCTGTCCTGTCCCCAGGTGCTCTAGGTGCCAGTGAAGCTCTCCTGGAGGTGCACAGTGGAGGCCTGGGAAGGCACAGTCCTGGTTACAGCATGCTTGAGCCTGCTCTTTGAGGCTGGCAGTGCTCGGGCACCCAAAGGAGGCTTTGCAATGATGGGCCTGGACTGGCTTCTGCTCATCCTCACCATAGACTGTTTCTCAGATACAGTGCCTGTTACCAAAAGCAAGAAAGCATTTGTAGATGACAAGGACAAGTCACGTGGCCCTAGAGCAGCATGGGCAGGCATGCTGGAAAAGGAGGCACTCCATGCTAAGGAAGAGCTCTCGGGAGTGCCTGAGCTGGCTGGAGCCTCCCATGAGTCAGTGAATCCTTAAGCTGTGGCCGTTGTTCTGATCCAGAGAGAAGTCCCTGACCCACAGTCCAGGGCCACGCTGCATGGCCAGCCATCATCCTTGGTCCTGTGCTCAGCACATGGGTAGCTCAGGGTAGAGCACTTGTCCAATATGTGTGAGGCCCCGGGCCTCATCCACAGCACCAGAGGTCAGTGTTGAGACCAGACTCTGGGGGACCCACCTCCAGCATACCATTGAGTTGGGGGCTCCAAGGGCAGGTGCAGCTCTGTGACTCATTAGGGCAGTGACCCTAAGGGCAGTTAGTGCTCTGGCTTGAAAGCTGTCCAAGTATTGTGGACTGCGCAGGGTGTCATGCCTTGTGGCCCCTGCAGCTGTGTTGTGGTGGAAGCATTGCTGTGGAGTGCCCAGCTGTTCTGCAGCAGTCGCACTGGTTACCTTGTGGGGCAGAACCCATCTATAGAAGTGTCAGTGCCAGGGCCACTGTGTTGGGGCTGGGGTGGTTCAGCCCATGCGGTGTCATCCTGAGGGGTCTGCATGCACGTTGGTGAGGTCTGTGCACGACTGGAGCTCTTGGCCCAGCCCTTCCCCACCCTATACCAGTGGAGGCAGGGATCTCCAGACAGGGCTACGCCTGGGACCTGTTCCCTGGACTAGGGTGCTCACTTCGGTTCCAAGCCAGCTTTGGTGGTGGCCATGTCAGAGCCCAAGCCATGGGTTCTTAGGTAGGATTCTGGAGTGTGGCATCCATCTGCTCTTGTTGTGGGCACAGAGGAGGAAAGAGGACCACGCTTTTAGGCCTGGCTTGCTTCCCTTCCCACACTAGTCCTGGTGGAGGACAGGGCCCAGGTGCCAGGCGGGCACTGAGAATCCCATGGGCTCCTGCTCCTGTGTGCCTATCTGCACAGCTTCCCCATCCATCCCTGTGCTCTGCTTTAGTGCCTACCCTCCAGCCCTTCTCTAGATAGATGTCTGACTGCGGTCCTCTCCTCTGCAGAGGAGCAGCTCTGAGGAGGATTTGTCAACTGAACCCCTCCCCGTAACAGTGCCACCTACAGGGTGCTGTGGAAGTGCAGAGCCAAAGTCCTGCCTTGCCCTCCTTACTCTGTACCCTTCCTGACGCTTGAAGTCATACAAAAGCAGCCCCTCTTGTTTTGAGAAGGAAACAGGCTCAAAACCCCCTGGACTCTGGGCCTCCTCTGATGGCCTGACTTCTCATATAACATGGAGGTCTGGTTACCTGTTGTCCCTGACTTCTGTGGAATCCAGTCAACTTGTTTTTCCTTAGTTTTCCAGAATTTTAAAAGTTACTTATTTGGTGTGGGATGAGAGATTGAACCAGTAGGCAAATACTCTACCACTGAGCAATTTCTCTACCCTTTTTTTTGAGATACAATGTTCCTGGGTTGCCCAGGCTGGCCTCAACCTTAGTATTTTCCTGCCTTGGCCTCCGAGAAGCTGGGATTATAGGTACGCACCACTGCACACCTCCGCCCAGTAGGCAAATATAAAATCACGAAACACTTCCCCATATTTGCTTCTCTGTTCATTGCTTTAATTCTTAGATATAGGTCTTTGATCCATTTCTAGTTTTGTATATGGTATGATGTAAAGTAGAAGTTTGTAGATACTCACTTGTTCGATCAGTATTATACCAAAACCAAAGATACCACAGGAACAACAGACCAGTGGTGCTCGTAAACATAAACGTGGGATTTTTAAAAGAATTTTAGCAAGTCAGATTCCTCAGAAAGTAAAAAAGATGTACCTCTTGGCTCTGCAGGGTTTGCACTAAGAATTCAGGGTTCACTTAATATGCAGAATCAGTTGCTTCATCTACGGCCATAACCACCCTGAATGCTCCTGAGCTTGTCAGAATCAGTTGCTTCCATTCATTGTGTTAAAAGAAAACTGCACAATCACAGATTCATGTGATTGAAGTAGTTGTTGCAAAAGAAAACTTTGACGGAAGCATTCGGGGAGTGAGTGTGAAGGCCTGATGTGCAGCATTCACGCGCCTGTAGCTGACGCGTTGGAGCAAAGGTGCCTTCTCCAGAAGCTTAGGCTCAAAGGAAGACACCCAGTCACTGCAATCACCATTTAGAGGCAGATTCCTGGTGTTTCCCACATCCTCAGCGTTGTTCTATGCTATCCTCTAACCAGGACCTCTCTATAGCAGAAGTAGCCTTTGTCTCCATAGAAAAGTTTGGGACTTTTCTTCCCCCAGGGTACTGGGGATTAAATCCAGGGAGCTCCAAGCTACATCCCCCGCCTTGTCTATCCAGCAGTTTATGTTTTTGATGTATATTTATAGATAGGGTCTCCCTAGGTATCCTAGCCTGGGCTCAAACATAAGACCCTCTTGTCTCAGACTCCCAGCTATTAAGCTAGCTGGGATTACAAGTGTGCACCCTTGTGCCTGGCTGCTGAGAAGTTTTGGCTATGAAGGGTGGCATTTTCTTCTGTAAAGTGTCTCTTCAGACCTCTGCTCATTTTGAAATACTGCTTTTCTTTCTTCCATGTAGATGTGAGTGCAGGTGACCTTGCCTAGGTTCCTATTCCTGGGGAGAACACCACACCTCTGCTTTTCCTGGTACTCAGTTTCCAGGTTCTCAGGGCCTTCAGGTGAGCAGGAGAGGTGTCTTCTTCTGTCCCTTCCAACTAAGGACAAGCAGCAGACTTGACCCTGAGCAAGGCTGGACTCTGCCACAGGCCATTCAGTGGCTCTTGAGATGATTGTGTCATTGTAAAGCCTGTAGTTTTTAAAGTATAAATCACATCCTTTTTTAAATTACTTGCACTCTTGAGCCCTGCAGTGTTTGTCATTTGTGTGATCTTCTTTATCTACCTGGAGTAGATTTGCTGGTATCTCTTCAGGGTTTCCCTGTCTATGTTCCTTGAGACTGTCAGTTCATAATTATCTTTCCAGGGAATACCTTCATCAAGTTCTGGAATTAGGGCTATGGCAGCCTTAGACATGAGTTGGGGAATGTTTCTTTTCTCTCTGTCCCTAGGAAGAATTTGTATAATAGTAGTCGTATTTCTCTTTGAAATGTAGGTGAAACCCATGCACTGGGCAAGGTGTCTGTCCTCTTGGTGGGAAGGTGGTTTGTGCAGGCTGGGATTCCTGTCTAGGTCTGTTCTTTCTAGTGTTGGGGTGGTGCAGTATCAGGATTCCCCTTCCTTCCCAGCAGGGCAGTCCTCTGTGGTGGGCCACGCTGTCCGTTTGCAGAGTCAGGAGAGGCACTGCGGGAGGAGGGCTGTGCATCCACGTGACCCTGTCCCCCAGCACATTGCCCTGGCACACAGCTTGCAGCGTATGTGGCAGGGCCCCCCACAGTAACTTGAGGAATGTATCTTCTAGGCTTCCAGACTTGGTCATGTAGAGGTTGCCCAGTCGCATTAGAGGAAGGTCACAGGAGGGTTACCTGCAGTGGCTCAGGTTCTTCCAGGAGGCTACCAAGGGTAGCTGCCCAGTGCCTGCCAATGGCTCAATAAGGAAAATTCCAGAAAGAAAGTTGGGCTGGGGAGGAGTGCTTCTAGTCACTGTGCTTTTCCGCGTGTACTAGTGCCTCCCTGAGCTATACACCCAGCTACAGTAGGGTCGGAGTTGGCATTCACTGCACAGAGGCCAGCTTTGCTGTGCGTGATCCAGGGTGTTGTTGAGACTAACTGTACTGTGTGGCCCTATCCAGGTCAAC